GAACAGGGCAATTTCAAGTTACCCATCCTGTCATCCAGTCCCAGCTTCTGGCAGTTAGACATTGGGGGACACCCGGAGCATGGGGTTGCCTCCCTGACCATCTTGGCTATCCTCCAGGAACTTATCTAATTCCTTTTTGGCCTTCACAACATCCCCTGGCAAGGAGTTCCACAGCTTGACTGTGCGTTGTGTGAAGTATTTCCTTAAGTTTGTTTTAAAACTGCTGCCTATTAATTTCATTGGGCGACCCCTGGTTCTTGTTACATGGATATACAAACCCCAAAGAGGCTCTCACTTGAGCCATGTACCAATGGGTCACTAGATAACGTACAGCTGATGAACTAGTAGCTTTACAATCCCCACTAGAAAGCAAGAAGCATCTTGTAATGCATTCCAGATTGTAAAGTGAGGGAGGCTGCCTTTTGAGCTCTGGCATCTCAGAGCTGTCTCTTATGACTGAGGTGAAACGTACAGTACAAACTTCTAAAAATGTACAGTTATTTGTTCTTCTGTACAAGAGGATAAAAGGAACCTTACAATACGAGACAAGGAGTGAAAGGGGAAACAGATGGAGGAGGAGAAATATTAAGTCTGGCACATAAGACCTGAATGGAAACGTTCTCTGCTTCTCGGCCAATAATTAGAGACCAGCCTGCAATCCCATCAGCTGAAATGTAATGCCATGGAGAGTGCAAGTGACAAGTCCATTTTTTGTTAAAAGCAATAACTGTGATTGGAGCTAGTGAAGTGACGTGAAATCTTTTCCCAGCCACTGCAGAGCAACGCTGACTTTCTCTCCAGAGGCCCCAAAGGCTCAAATTATCAGGTTACAGCTGAGCTGGGGTAAATCAGCATCCTTTGGCAGCTCTAGTCTTCATGCTGGGGTTCACAATTGTGCACCAGCTGGAGCCCCTCATGTTATAACTCTAGCAACCCGGCAGCAGCACTACCAAGTCCCTTCAAAATTCAGAAGGGGGTTCAGGGATATGGGTAATGGACTGCATACCCTTTTTACTCTAGGTCACCAATTCTAATGCAGTCCAGGGTGAACGTGGCCTCAGTAGACCCCATATAACGGCTGTTTGGTGCTGTATGTGAAAACATGTGTGTTCTCAAGCCAGTTCCACAGCCCAAAAATCAACATAAAAACTGACATTTGTGGGCAGCCATAGCAAAAACAAACAAAAATGCCAAGATGGGAAATGTGCTGAACTGCACTCTGCTACTGAAGGAGGCACCTACACCGCCAATGCCCAGAATGCACCCAACTACAGCCTATGGGCAGTTCTTACACATCTCTGTACCCCGATGGGAATCAGTGCATTATGCTCAGCATTTCCAGCCTGATACTGTAATGTATTACGACACTGACTTTTGAATGGAATCCCATTGTACGCAGCAATTTTATCTTGGCAGTCCCAAAGCACTGACCATCCATCTAGAATTACTCGTTTGAGCTCTTGGAAGGCTGGATTATTTTATATTTCTTGTCTGAGCGTGTCAAAGAATGGTAGTGCTAGAGTCATATTTGCTTTGCATGGCAGAACATTATGCAGTCTCTTGTCATGTTGATCACTTTTACACCAATTACTTCCACCAGGACTGAATTCTTATCGCCAGTCACTGGCTGTGACAGAAAGGCCCAGGAAGTGCTGGAAATCTCCCAGCAAAGTCTCATGAGATTTCTAGCCCCGTTTGCAAACCAGAGGCTCAATGCCACCAAGCCTTCCATTGACTCAGGACTCTACCACAGGTCAGCAGTTTCAGGCTTTACATTTTAAAGGGTTAATGTAATCGTTAGCAGCAATCACTGGAAGAAGGTACCTCAGAATCAGCCACATGAGCACAGGGAGGATTTAGAAAGCTGTACTAGAATTAGAACATCTAGCCTCTGAGTACTGCAGGATTTACTTCGACAACCTTAGGCCTGCTGCAAGACGGTAAATTCCGGAGGCGGCAGCTACACTGCAAACCTACCCCTGTTCTGGCAGCCATCTGTCAGAGTACAGGAACACAAGAACGGCCAAACTGGGTCACACCAAAAGTCCATCTAGTCCAGTGTCCTGTCTTCCAACAGTGGCCAATGACAGGTGCTTCAGAGGGAATGAACAAAACAGAGCAATTTTGAGTGATCCATCCCAGCGTCCACTCCCAGCTTCAGAAAGTTGGAGGTTTAGGGACACCAGAGCACAGGTTTGAATCTCTGACCATCTTGGCTAATAACCGCTGATGGACTTTAAAAGGAAGCTCTATTGGCAGCTTCAGGCATCAGTTCTCACTAGAATCATAAATGTTGTTGAGAAAGGGCAGCCCAGGGAAGGCAGTAGAAGAGCAGACTCACTCCCTCTGGCTCTCCAGCTACCCAAACAGCTCAATGCAGGAACTGTAGGCCTTAAAATGGAATTACCTCTCCAGAAATCAAGGTTTCTCTGTCCGCTTTCCTGATGCATCTTGCAAACTAAGATTCATTTTTCTGTTTGGTTTAGAAGAGAAACTGCTCAGTTTCCCCTACTTGCTACCACAGATTACTAATGACAGAGTCACTCCCTAGACCAGCAGATAATTTATGCTCTCAACTCCTTTTAATCACAAAGTTGTGTAATAAATAAATAGACAACACTCTAAAAATACCAACATCTCCATACCACAGCATGCAGACTTCAAGGAAACGGCTTCCCAAAGGAATATCAAACCTGGACCACCTTTTACCTCCAGCAAGAATCAAACCCTTTCACAGTATTAAACAAATTACGTGCAAGCTGAATTCTGCCTGCCTGCTATAGGAGTGCACTGGATGGCTAGGACAGTGAAATAAAATACACCCCCATAATTTACAACCCTTCTGAATGTAGCTTTCTGGTTTTCTTACTGCTATAATCTTCCAGATAATGCAGTCACCCTCACCACCAACGGTGGGTCAGCTTGCTGCATATTTCAGCTTTCCACAGGTAAATTCCTCTTTTAAGACCCTCTGGATCTGCCTCCAATCACCAGCACCTCTCCCATCACATTCTTTGCACCAGCATGTAGACGCTTTGCTTCAGAAAACAGGTTTGCAAGACCTTTCATCAAACAAGGCTCTGGACACATAAGCAGTCTGTCCGAGCCAGGATGTTCAGGGCACAGGAAATGATGCTGTGAAGCCATCCCAGCTTCTTCCAGACCAGCTCTCAAACTTTTGCACTGGTGACCCCTTTCACACGTAGCAAGCCTCTGAGTGCGAGCCCTCCTTATAAACTAAAAACATTCTTTATATTTAACTATTATAAACGCTGGAGGAGAAGCGGGGTGGAGGCTGACAGCTCATGACCACGTAATAACCTGGGTCACGACCTGCAGTTTGAGAACCCGTCCCAGATCATCCCATCCAACCTGCAGTCCCAAGCTGTGAGTCCCAGAGCTCAAGGCTCTTTGCAGAATGCCACCCACACACAAGCAATCAGCAGTTTGATTCTAGTAACTTTACAGAACATATCCAAATCCATCACCTAATATTGCAGTTTGCTTTCCTTCATAAAGGTTTTAGGCCACCAATGACTTTCCGTTAGGGAGACGACTCATTCCCACAAAACCAACACATCAACATGGGCCTCTAGTTAAGGGAGGACTGCTTGGAATAGCTGACAGCATGTGCCTCCAACTCCATGCAAACAGAAAACTTTGGCCGGTTGCTTTGCAGCCCAGCGTTTAAACTGTTCCAGTGGCGTTGGAGCACATCACTCACAAACCTTACTGCTCAAGCACCCACGGACAGGTCTGTACAGCTGCATTCTCAGTTACAGGCCCTCAGCTATAAGGGACTTCCAACCACAAATACTACCTTGCGGGTTCAATTGCAGACGCTACCCTACTCAGCCACTGCAGAGTAGCAGCAGCATCTCTACTGGAGGCAAAGCCACAACAACAGACTTGAGTATCAGAATTGCACTAAAGCTTTCACCATGGGCTGGGGCTTAGCAGCGAGCAGATGTTGCTGCTAGCATGAGAGCCAGGCAGTGAACGATTCCCCTAAGAAAGGAAGGGAGGAGCCAAATTACATCTTCACTTGCAGTTTGGGGCCCCCAGGCTACTTGTCATAAATTCCCCTAAAACACCAGACAAATCAGGCATGGACTTACACCCACTGCCACATCTTCCAATCCCGGGAATGCAAGCACACTTCCATATAGTAGATCCACTACAAGGGCTGGGGTGAGGACTTGTCCCCTCTAACCCTGGGCTACTTAGAGATGATAGACTGTGAAACAAGAGCTTTCACTCTAGCAGCCCTATAGACAGCATCTTCAAAGAGGACTCAATGGCTATCCCCACTGCTCTGCTTCTGTATTACGGAGAACCCAACCGGGACAAATGCCACAGAGCAGGAGCTTTGAAATGCAACTGAGGGAAAACTGCATGCGATAGAGCTGTTCAGTTTAGGCCCACACACGAAGTCAGCGGGAGGAGCTTGTTTTCAGGCACTCTCCTGCCTACAGAGCTGCACCTGTGAACAGAGTTCCCCTGCCCAGGGACGGGGTATGAATGAGCAGCTGCAGGAAAGCAAGATTCTGCTGGACCAACCCAAAGTAACCAAGTATCTAGCTCAGATGTACACACCGGGCTGCTGCTCCTACACATACTCCCGCCCTGCAAGATCCCACCACTTTGGGGATCATACTGCACCATGACCCAGACAAGCTCTTCATTTCACCCCCAGCGTTTGCCTCTAGACCGCACACAGACAACCCTCCATGCCACCTTAAGCCCTAGGATTTCAGAGCCCGGACATACACTAACAGCGATACTATCTGTCTTATAGCAGCGCCTGGAGAGGACAGGCCAGGCGGGGGGGGGGGGGGCAAGCGTGCGAGGCGCTGTACAGACACATCGGCGCATGCAAGCCGCAGACCGGCTTCGGGGACTTGCCCAGGGTCGCACCGGGAGCCCAGTCTCGCCCGCTGCCTCCCCCACAAGGCCAGCCTGGCTCCGGGAGCCGGGGGGGTGTCACACACACACGGTACCTTCCAGCAGCACCTCGCGGCCGGCCCGCTTCAGCGCCTGCACGGCCTGGTCGTGGGTGGCGTCGCGCAGGTCGGTGCCGTTCACCGAGAGGATGGCGTCCCCGAGCCGCAGGGCGCCGCAGCGCTCGGCCGCCAGCCCCGGGAAGATGCGGGAGATGAGCACGGGCATGCGGTTCTCGCGCCCGCCCTTGATGCTGATGCCCAGCCCGCCCGCCTCGGCCTTCACCACCCGCACCCGCCGCACGCCCGGCGGCGCCGGCTCGGCCGGGGGCGGCGAGAGCGGGCGGGGCTCCGGGCCGCCCCCCGCCGCGCCCCACTCGGCGCCGTTGGGCAGCCCGTTGGGCGGCCCCGCGGGCTCGGGCGGCGGCTCCGAGGTGAGGCTCAGCGCCTCGCCGCTCAGCTCCGCCGCCACCCGCACCCAGCGCTCCCGCAGCAGCAGCTCCAGCAGCCCCGCCTTGGCGGCGCGCGTCCACACCGCCATCCCGCCGCGCGGCTCCTCCGCCGGCCCGGGCCCGCTCCCGCTCCGGCTCCCGCCGGGCCCCGCTGAGGAGAGGGCGGGCGCGGCCCTGCCATTGGTGGAGGGGCGCGGCTCGCGCCCCGGTCCGGCCTCCTTCCCGCGGGGGGCGGGGGCAGCGCGTCGATGGGAGCACGCGATTGGTGGGGAGCGGGAAGGGGCGTGTCTGCAGGCCTGAGCTCCGCCCCCCCCAGCGAGTGGCAGCAGCGGGCGGGGTGCCACAGCTCAGGGCTCACCCCCGCCGGAACGGCTGTAAGGGGCGGGGCTTACGCCTCAAGCTCCTCCCCTGCACTATGGTAATAAAGCCTCACGGTCGCTAGGGGCGGGGCTTCTGCTGCAGGCTCCTCCCATCCCTGCCCCCCAGGGCAAAGGGGAGGAGAGCTACAGGCCCCCTTCCTAGCAGGGTGCCCATCCACAGTGGGTCCAAGGGCAGCAGCTGCCCCAACCCCACCCATCCCATGGGGCCTGCACAGAGCTTGGGCTGTCCTCCCCCTACAGGCACCAGGGGCCCTTCCCAGGCCGTAGATCAGACCCCCCCAATTGCACACGATGGGCCTCCCTCATCCGGGCACACCTGAGCTGCCGCCCCACGGCCCCCAGCCAGCCGCATTGCCTTCAGCACCCACATGGGAGTCGCTGCCTCTGTGCTTCTAGCCCTGCCCAAGGCACGATTGAGTCCAGGGCAGGGGACAGTTATGGCAGAAAAAGACCATCTCCCTTGGAGACTGGAGCACATCAGAGGTGCAGTTCGAGGCCCAGCTGTGGAAGCCCAGAGAGCCCTTCTTACCCCGATAGGCGGTTCAGAGTGGTAGTGAGAGAAGACTCAGCTGCTAGAGGTCAAAGCTGTAGCATGGATCGGAAACAGTTCAGTGCAGCAGACAGTGCAAGGCTAAACAGTATATTAATAATAAGGGAAGAGGGGATAGGAGTATAGCCACTAGCAGGGCTGGCTCCAGGCACCAGCCTGGCAAGCAGGTGCTTGGGGCGGCCGCTCCGGAGAGGGGCGGCACGTCCAGGTATTCGGCGGCAATTCGGCGGACGGTCCCTCACTCCCGCTCAGAGCGAAGGACCTCCCGCCGAATTGCCGCCGCCGAATTGGGGCAGCCAAAACCCTGGAGCCGGCCCTGGCCACTAGGTCCTTCCCTCTTGAAGAACCAGAGTGTAGCCAAAGCCTAGAGGGCCTTCCAGATCACCTCACTTTGCTTCATTTTCTTGCTCAAGGAAAAAGGTAGCCCTGAGCAAGGGAAGCATAATCAGGTTTCCATAGATGGCATTAGTTCAGCAGCAGATCCAATATTAAGACAGAAATGTGGTTGCAGGCCCACTTGATAGTGCAGCCTGGAGCACTAACTTCCTGCCTGAGGCTAGGCCTTGGCTGCTGATCCGTCAGAGCAGGAGCACTATTTTTAACTCAAACATATGTAATCACCGGTGATCCCGACTCCTGAGGACACCTACTGAGAGAAGGGAAATACAATAAATTCCTTCCAGCCCTGGGGCTCTAAGCACTCAGGCCCAGTGCACTGTGATTGCAGGGGTCAGGGAAGGTGGTTCGGGAAGCAATAACCACACTAAATTGACACCCCATTCTCATTCATGAGAATGAAAGGAATTGTGAATTAGAGCAGTTCTAAGGCTTCTGGAGGGTGGGGGGAGAGGCAGGATACAGGCATTTTTGCTTTAGAAATCAATTGGCCAAAGTACTATAAAAAACTCAGTTAAAGAAGTCATCTATCAAGACTAAGGTACATTCTCCCCCCCACCACACCCCCTGTTCTAACCCCGTCGACTGCTCAAACAGCAGCAGTTACAAGTTTTATTTGCACAGTCAGGTGCTTTTGCACATCAGACCTTTGCTAAATATTATATGCAACAAACAACAATAACCAGTGCAATGTAAGTTACTAGGATTTGGGGATCCTATTTTATAAGACAGGTATCATGTTTAATAGGTGGTTTGTCAAGTGCTTCAGAATGAAGTGATCACAAACAAATTATAAGAACGGGGGGTATTATTACTTACAATGTATCAGGACTGCCTACTCCAGAATTACGAGTATTGCAGGGTTTGAATGTTAACACGCCTGCTGTGTGAGACCAAAAAAAGCAGGGAAAAGCAACTACTGCCCTTGTTTCAGAGTAGCAGCCATGTTAGTCTGTATCCGCAAAAAGAACAGGAGTACTTGTGGCACCTTAGAGACTAACAAATTTATTAGAGCATAAGCTTTCGTGGGCTACAGCCCACTTCTTCGGATGCATATAGAGTGGAACATATATTGAGGAGATATATATACACACACATACAGAGAGCATGAACAGGTGGGAGTTGTCTTACCAACTGTGAGAGGCCAATTAAGTAAGAGAAAAAAACTTTTGAAGTGATAATCAAGATAGCTCAGTACAGACAGTTTGATAAGAAGTGTGAGAATACTTACAAGGGGAGATAGATTCAATGTTTGTAATGGCTCAGCCATTCCCAGTCCTTATTCAATCCTGAGTTGATTGTATCTAGTTTGCATATCAATTCCAGCTCAGCAGTCTCTCGTTGGAGTCTGTTTTTGAAGTTTTTCTGTTGTAAGATAGCCACCCGCAGGTCTGTCATTGAATGGCCAGACAGGTTAAAGTGTTCTCCCACTGGTTTTTGAGTATTATGATTCCTGATGTCAGATTTGAGTCCATTTCTTTTGCGTAGAGACTGTCCGGTTTGGCCAATGTACATGGCAGAGGGGCATTGCTGGCACATGATGGCATATATCACATTGGTAGATGTGCAGGTGAATGAGCCCCTGATGGTATGGCTGATGTGATTAGGTCCTATGATGATGTCACTTGAATCATGAATAAATTGGAATATGACCAAGAGGCTGCTAGACAGCTCTCTAACACCACATTCTACAGGCCATTATCCTCTGATCCCACTGAGGATTACCTAAAGAAACTACACCATCTGCTAAAAAAACTCCCTGACAAAGCACAGGAACAAATCTGTACAGACACCTTAGTCTCTAAGGTGCCACAAGTACTCCTGTTCTTTTTACTGCCCTTGTGTAACTGGAGGCTTGTTTTAGGCATCCTTCCTGTTGATCAGATGTATAAATAGTACCAAAGGGCGGTAGCCTACAATATTGGGGGGGAAGGGGGGGAGGCTGCTTTCCACTGCAGATGGAACAACCTACACTACAAAGCAATTCTTTGCAACTATGGTTTCCTGCTGAAGAGTGTGAGTGGGCAGAGACCTGATCTGATTCACTATTTAGTTCAAATACTCTCACCACACATGAGCTTTTGCCTTGAAATGGGAGTTGCAGATGAATTGAAATGTCATCTAAGTTCACTGGAGCTGCCGAAATCTGCCGAGCTGCTATTCTGTGATTTACCATGGCCTGCTGAATGAGTTCTGATAGAGAGCTCCTCCTCCTCCGGACAGATGATGCTGTAACTCAATCCAAGGGCTGGCCTTTGTTACGCCGATACCAACAGGGCTGCACGCTAATCGCAAGTGCTGGAAGGCCAGATGGATTGCAGTGATGCTTGGTTAAAAGGTGACATGCCCCACACTGAGTTCCAGCAGGAGGGGAATTAAAATAGCCAAAACAAGAGCCTCTGAAAAAGGAGATGAATGGAAATGCCAGCCCAGCGGAGCGGGGAGGGCAGCACTCACAGTCGGGCTAAGTATCATCTCCTTCGGGGAGAAGGGAACGGTCATGGAACCCTAAAGATGATGCCCCATTTGCAACCGGGCTTGGGCTCTGTCTCCCTTCACGGATCAGCAAGGAAACTCAAGCTCACAGTGAGCAAGGTTTTGCAAGCCTGAGCATACCTCCATTCATCACATTTTGTGAATTAACTTCCCTCCCTTCTGACACCTACCAAGCTGTAACAAGCTGACTGCCCAGAGGGAACCACCCACGCAGTCCTTTACTCTGCCTCACACGAGCCTGTTGCTTTGGCCAGAAAATCCAAGTTCAGTTTTGCAGCATCTTAGAATCATGGAAGCACAGGGCTAGGAGGGTCCTTGAGTGGTCATCTAGTCCAGCCCTCTGCATCGAGACAGGGCCAAGTACATCTCGGGAGAGAGCAACTCAGTCTCCCCTCTCCTCTTTCATTAGCAGTATCCTAAAAGCTAAGGGAACAGTGCCTCCTGCTGGCACAGTGTTAGAGGGGCCTGCAAAGAAAACCAGGGTGCTGTTTGATGATATCTAAAGGCTGAGTGGGCATCTTTCTGCACCACAGAGTTCAAAATATCATCCTTAAAGGCTATGAAAATGCAGAACAGCAGTTCTCAGACTGATCAGCAAAGCAGTGGCTGCTGCCATGGGGCTGGCTCTCCAGCTCAGCTAAGTCAAGTCATATTAAGAGACAACCAACATCCCTTAAGACTTCCCTACTACTTCTCTTCCATGTAAACATCTGCTGGAATTGGCACAGGAAGGTTATGGGATGGAAAGTGGGGCTAAATGATGGCAAATGGAGGGCGAAGGGCGTGGTAAATGGAAGGGAGGCATTCACAGCACAACCCACACAACGAAAAAAGCCCGAGAACTTTTGGGGTAGAACAGGGGTGTCCAACATAGGGTTCAAATGGCTCATAATCACTTACTGAGCCAGATACACATCAGATCAGTGTCCAGGTTCTGGGGCAAGATGGAAGTCTGTCTATGGTCTGGGACAGAAGCTACTAGCAGACTGTCCTTTTAAAATGTAGTTAGTAACATTTCAGGCCAACTCTGCCTCATATGACACCCACTGTGGTCTTTTACCACCAGTCAAGGTGCACGTGGCCATGCTGAACTATGTAGGTGCAAGGGCACGCAGAGGGAGGGGGAGGGAAGCGGGCTTGGAAGAGGAGGTGGGGTGAGAGGCCTGGAGGGGACAAGGAGCTGCCTGCAGCTGCCTTTGGGGTGGGACATGTGAGTGCAGGCAGCAGCAGACAGGCAGCGAGAGCCAGGTAGCTACAGCATGTACAC